CAGCCAGCAGGGGAGACATAATGCATTATTCAATTACTCTTGCAGGGTTAAGGGTAGTGGGTAGGGTTGGCACCCACACCACTCCAATGGGCAGAAATGGTCTGGGTGCCTGGAGTGTCCCTTTAAGAGGTGTGAATTTCTACATTAAATTTTATTTGTCACACCTCACAAATGCATATTTGTTAGTTATGCAAATTAGATAAATATAATATGAGAAGGGACAATCCCTCTTTAATAGTATATTACTATTTTTATCTACTAATGCTATCTTATTGTTAGGTATGTAAAGCAGGGCCGGACTGGGAAAAAAATTAGGCCCGGGCATTTTTCAATTAGAGCGGCCCCCCCCAAGAAGGGGGCGGGGCCAGAGAGGGTGTGTTTTGTCATCACTAATGACAAGCACGCCCCCTCTCAAAGTGAGCATGTTGGTTCAATGCGCAGGGCCCCGCTGAAGAGCTCTGGCATTAGAAAAAGGCCCTGAATTTGTTCTGCGCAGCGCAAGCAAATTTAATAACATGCTTGCGCTGTGTTTGCTTTTAAATTGTCTCTGGTGTCTCCACAAGTGGGATACCAGAGGACAAAAGGGCCAGGAAAGTGTATGGTGCATATGTTTGGCGCATGCTTGTGGGATTGCCTGTGTGTAGAGTGTGGTGTGGTATTGTGTAAATAGGTGTAATATGTGTTGCTAGGGGCTGTAGAGAGTGCGTGTATAGGGGCATAGTGTTATAGGGGATGTAGCGAGTGTGTGCATACGGGCAGTAGTGTGTGTGTATAGGTGACGTAGTGTGTGTAGGGGTTGTAGAGAGGGTGTGTTTAGAGAATGTTGTATGTCTTTCCTTACAAAGAATATAGTGTGTGTGTGTGTAGGTGGTGCAGTGTGTGTGTGTAAGAGATCTAGTGTGTAAAGGACCCAGAGTGTGTATAGAAGATTGTGTGTGTGTGTGTGTATGTGTGTAGAGGATTAAGAGTGCATATAGGGAAAGGGATCTAGCGTGTATCTGGAGCGTAATGTGTGTAGTGGTGCAGTGTGAGGGGTGCTGTAGTGTGTGTGTGTGTGTGTATATATATATATATATATATATATTTTTGGACGTATTGTATGTGTGAGGTGCGCAGTGTGTTTGTGTAAGAGGGGTGTGTGAGGGTGTTTTTATCTGCCGTCACATTCTAGGTTTCTAATTTTCTTTGTCTGTTAACTCACTGAGGGTTATTTTATATAATATAATATATATATATATATATATATATATATATGTGTGTGTGTGTGTGTGTGTCTCTGGGTGTGCTGTGTGTGTCTGGGGGTGCTGTGTGTGTATCTTGGGGTGCTGTGTGTGTGTCTGGGGTGCTGTGTGTGTCTTGGGGTGCTGTGTGTGTCTGAGGGTGCTGTGTGTGTGTGTGCCTGGGGGTGCTGTGTCTGGGGCTGCTGTGTGTGTGTCTGGGGTGCTGTGTGTGTGTTTGGGGGTGCTGTGTGTGTGTTTGGGGGTGCTGTGTGTGTGTTTGGGGTTGCTGTGTGTGTGTCTGGGGGTGCTGTGTGTGTGTCTGGGGTGCTTTGTGTGTATCTGGGGTGCTGTGTGTGTCTGGGGGTGCTGTGTCTGGGGTGCTGTGTGTGTCTGGGGTGCTGTGTGTGAGGGCTGTGTGTGTGTATCTTGGGGTGCTGTGTGTGTGTCTGGGGGTGCTGTGTGTGTCTGGGGTGCTGTGTGTATGTCTGGGGTGCTGTGTGTATGTCTGGGGTGCTGTGTGTGTCTGGGGTGCTGTGTGTATGTCTGGGGGTGCTGTGTGTGTCTGGGGGGGCTGTGTGTGTCTGGGGGGGGCTGTGTGTGTCTGGGGGGGCTGTTTGTGAGGGGGCTGTTATGGAATTTATTTTAAATATATATATATTTTTTTATGAATAATTTAAAAAAAGTTATGTTTACCCCTCCCCCTCCCTTCTTACCTTTATCTTGGGAGGGGGAGGGAGCCGTTCTGCCTGGGAGGGGAGCCTTGAGGGGCACCATGCTGCCTTCCCTGGTGGTCCAGTGGTGAGAGTGAACTCTAACCTGCAGGTTAGAGTTCACTCTCGCGAGATCTGAGCGTTGCCACGGTAACCGCGGCAACGCTCAGAATCTCGCGAGAGGACCCGGCGGAGCTGCTGGTTAGAGCTCCGCCGGGTCCTCTCTCCTGCCTCCCTCTCTCCCAGCCGGTGGCCGCATCTCCATGTCTGTGGGCTGGTGAGGGAGATCTGTGATCTCCCCACCAGCCCATGGAGACACACAGCAGGGCCGGCGCTCGGATAGATCACAGAATCTCCCCTGCCGGCCTCGGCCCCGCGGCCATCGCGGCCCACCGGGCATTTGCCCGGTATGCCCGATGGCCAGTCCGGGCCTGAGCACAATGTTGGAATAGAGGTATGGACAGAGGAGCTGTGTCTGTAGGCATGAGCGGAGTGTTTTTTTAAATAACTAGGGGGAGGAGACTTTGGGACAAATGGGGCAGAGGGCATGGTATTGTCTGCCTGATCCTTGCATGCCAAATGTACCTGTACCTTTTTATTAGACCCTTTTTTTAGTTTTAACCATTTTTCAAACATGGCAGGTGTTGAAATTCCATTAATTTGTTCTCTAGGTACACCAGCCTCAATCAAATCATTCCACATTTGAAAACGATTAACTCTCAGCCTTGTTTTATTCCTAAACTTTCCCTGCTTTTCTCCCTCTATTGGTTCCACCATCTCCTCCCTCGTCCTGTTAGAGGCAAACACACCTTTCCTAGGGTTAGATTCTGACTCTAATTCTCCAATTTCAGCTAAATAAGTGGTGAGCTGATGTACCTTTACATTATTCCCCAAACTGCCCAGCAAAGACAATAAAGATGCCTTAATTTCCTGGGGTGCACTTTTTAAAAACCGAGACCGCATGCTGGCTGTGAATTCCTCCATGTCTGGACCTTCCCAGTTATCCTTGTTTAATCCCACCACACAACCCATAACTCTAATGCGGGTAATAGCATCCCTCGGTTTTGACCAGGGTGAAATGGGCTCAATGTCATTGCTAGATGGGAAGGCCACAATTATGGCATGCCGCACCATATCAAATAATGAAAAATTACCTCCAATCTCCCTCACCCTCCGTAATACCTGCATGAGCTGTGGATGCAGCGTCAGCTGCCCCATACATAATGCTTCCCTTGCATTCAACTGCACACTGTCAGCTCCTCCATCCCACATGCGCAATAACCATTCTTCCACATTTTCACCAACTTCATGCTTATACACCTTTGCCAGCTCCATGAGCTCTGTTTGTGTGTAACTTTTTACCACTTCATTCATCTCTTCATGTACACCATTTCTCAAACCACGCGCTCTATCTTGTAATGTCCTCTTCCGCTGCTGTGTAAAGATAGGACGGGCTTGTCGCCTGTCCACATCATTATCATCATCAGAAAAGGATACATACTCATCATCAGATGACTGTAGCGGTGCTTCAGGATCCCATATGGGGTTTGCAACCATTGCTCGCACTTTACTTACAGGCACTGGCTTTTTTCCTTTCTGTGACCTCCTGCAGTTAATCTTGCTTACCACTAAAGTAGTACATTTTTCTTCTAGGGCAGCCACCTGGCATGCATTACTACGCATACATTCTTTAGTCATAACTAATAAATCTTTTACATCCTGCAACTCTTTCTCGAGCGCTTTATTTCTCTGCACCTCGCGGCTAAGGGCCTGCACAACTATCCACCCTGTGGTGGCAGCGGCTTTCCGCACTTTTTTGGAGTATACTCCCAGGTCTAACCGTAATGCTTGAGCACCAAGTTCAGTACCAGCATCAGGATAGACAGGAGCTGCATACTTGATCAACTCCTCAGCAATGGGTTTCCAGTTTTCTAAACTGGCCCACAATGGAATTGTCCCATACTTAGACGCCTCCTTCCCTCCTGCTCTATTACTTTTTTTTAAACAGAGTAAGCATCTTTACTCTCAGGGGGAACACAAAAATGCAAATATACCAATCAAAGACAATGCTTGTTAACTATATCTCTTTTCACTGTGCAACGTGACTGTGCTATAGGCTTATTCAATCTATATACACATTCAAATATTCTATATTTAGTGATTGTGCAGTATCCTGTTCACAGTGCCAGTTGTAATGGTAAATTAAGTAATTTCTTTATATTTATGAAGTTCTGAATTTCATAAATATGAAATAATACCACAAATAAAATAATAAAAGGTATACTGGTCAATCACATAAATATTAGTGAATATCTTGAATGAACAGACAAGAGGCAAAGTTTTGATGAAAGTATAAACAAAACTTTACTGGGAATACAATTATCAAGCACACAAAAAACAAATACTTTAAAAACATACACTGCTATAAACAATACATTCAGGTAAGAAATCTACTTAGCTCTATTCATGGAGATTCAGCAGCTTACACAGGATAATTGAATCAGCATAACACACAGAACAATGAGGTGAGTTCCTTGCCACATGTTAAATGGATTTACATGGGCACCTCTAAAGACACCTGGCTTCTTCCGACCCAGTCATGAAACTGAAACTCTAGTTTCTGGAAACCCCTTGAATAACCTCCCATCTAGTATCCACCCACAGAGGTAACATAACCAATACCTAATGGTCATCTCTAGGAGGCGGATACTACATGTGGTCCTTTGTGAAAGGAAGTGACTTAAGAATTCTCAATACCTTCCTAAAGCACATGTCTCATTGACTATGCGGCAGCCATCTTTATTCACTCGACGTCACAGTGCTCACTAGGCCACCTATAGGTCACTTCCTCCCTAAAGCACATGTCTCATTAAATATGCAGCAGCCATCTTCTTGCTCTTAATGTCACATAGCTCACTACACCCCCTATAGGTATCATAAGTTATTGCACATGAATGGGAACACAATAATAGAACATTTATCATTGCCCATAACCAATACAGCACCTGCTTCCACTGCTAAAGTATGACACCTACTTGCCCGTATGCAACTGCTTCCACTGCTAAAGTTCCTGTGTTGATTTTCCATATTTTCCAGTGAAATGCTGGTAGGTACCCATGTGTGCTAGAATCCTGGTGTATCCAGACACATAGCAAAATATTGAGGATGGAAGTACAAAAGTACACTATGAAAAGATAATAGAATGTGTTAAATATACAACAACAAGAATCAAGTGGTCTGAGGTTTTTTCTCCACCTAGCAAAAGGCCATAAGTAAGCAAGGAGGGAAACTTTAAACAGTTTCTGATTTCTTAATTAGAATGTTGTATTAGATTATGGTAACCTGGATTCAGTTAATTTGTGTTAGGCCATAAACAATGATTTCTCTGTCTCTTTGAAGACGGAGTTGCCAGTCTTAAACAAAACAAATTCATGTCTGAGTTTCCTCACCCTCTGCCACAGTGTGAATTACATGTTTGCATATTGTCTTATTCTAAATGACAACAAAGAGGTAATTGCATTTTTCCACATCTGTCATTTGAGTTATAAAACTTTGCAAAATATAATTAGGTTCCACCGTTCCAAATGTAGCGTTGAGGATTTTTTTTTTTTGGGCACTGAGCCCGCGGTATAAAGAAATCATCAATGAAAATACACACATTGCTGCTCTGTATAGAAGCACTTAAATATTTTCAATTAGAATAGAGGATGTTTAAATCTCAGAGTGCAGTAACAACCCCCGAGTCCTCTGATATACAGTGTTTGCCAATAGTCATATAATACGTAACAAATTCATAAGGCAGGATTTAATTTTCTCAAATGAGCAACATGTCAAACTCTACAGAATTAAAGAAAGAAAATGAAAAGCAAAATAATATGGGTTGCCGTTAAAAAGGTTATAGAATCTTCTTGATTTTACTATTTTTAAAATTTATTTTTACACTCATAACTTTACTGCAAAAAGGAACTCGTGTCCACCTGTGATGTCCCTACCGCTATAATTCCACACTAAATAGATCATTCTTACTGAGGTTGAGCATGTAGATTTCATGCAATATACCTGCATACCTGCAATCTCAATCAAGGTGAATTGCACACAACAACGTGAGGAAACACTGATGAAGGTCTGGAAGGGTAAGAGGCACAAACCTTCACCACTACATCAGGGCAAGGACTGATTATGAAGTATTTAACTATTAATAAAAGAAAATAATCAGAGTAGGATCAGCGCAAGTAATGCCACAGAAAATATATAAAATAGTAAAAAGGCAGCACACCTTAAAAGGGGTTGCCCTCCTATCCCCTATAGCTTAATAAGAAATGGAAAGAACAAAGGAAATAGGGTGCGCCTTTAATAAAAATACATCAATATGTCACTAAAAAGTATGATAAAAATACAAATAAAAATGAGAATAAAAAAGTCCAAGGTAATAGTCCACAGGTATATAGGGAGTGTTCTTTGTAGCACGATATTGTTTCATCCCAGATGATGACTTGTGTTTTTCAGTGAGCCATATGTGGAAAAAATAGAAAGGACAACCAATGGTACATTATATAGGTATAGATGGATATATATGAAATAAGATGGAATTACTCACAATTTCCAGAGCTAAAATCCAGCTCTGGTATGAAGTGCGTGAAGTGGAATGATCCCCACTCAAGGATATATGGAGCCGTAACTTGTAGGATAGATGGTCCACCAGGAATTCCGACCAAAAATGAAAACAAATGAAATATATAGTGCTCACTGTATATTAAAATTAGAATAAAAAAATGATATGAAATGTACTCACGATGTATTGAGCAATCCTCTCTGCTCAATATTAAGCGTATGGGTGGCATAATCCCCACCTAGGGATATTTCCGTAAATTCGTGTTGGTTCAAGTTAGTCAGGTATAGGGATAAAAAAGGTTAAAAACAGGAATGTGGCAATAAAATATTTGAGGCCAAAATTCCTTTATTATTACAATAATATTACAAAGCGTTTCGCCCACAACAGGCTTCTTCAAGTAGAATATAGTAAAAACAGTAACCTGACTAACAATGCTTTATATAGGGTTTGTTAAATGTACTGGAATTTGAATATTCCCGCCAAAATGACATCATCAAACTGAATTTTAAAATACAAATCAAAAACAGAGTGACAGTGGTAACAATAACTTGCATATACATATACATAATGATTATATATATATTTTGTAAAAACGAGATATAGATATTGATTGTGAATAGAAATCACGTGACGCGCGGCATAGAATTACTTCCTCGTCACGTGGTTTATATGCGCAATGAAACGCATGCGTTCCACTGACGGAACGCATGTGTGTAGGAACAGGGTTCTGGCCGGATGGAGATGAGTAAGCACCACGTTACCAGAGGGGAGAGACCCTCTGGTGATCGTAGGTGCAAAAAGCAATACTGTGAGCATGCTGTCCGCTCAGACAAGCGGACAGACACCATGCTCACAAAAAAGGGCAGCCTGGCCACAAGTTCTCACACACATAAAAACATTGCCATAATACATAGGGGTATATAATTTGAACCATAGCTACCTATTAACTATAGACAAGACACTTAAAAATTATGTTTAAGAATAATGTTTTGTATAAAATATATGTATTTATAATAAAAAATAAAAAATAAAAGAATATTTCTGTTAAAAGATGTGTGTATAGTTTTTTTTATATACAATAAAAGTGATAATGCATTAAGAGCGAAATTTTATTTAAAAATCTATCTGAAAGAAGAAAATATATATATATGTAAAAGAATAAAATTATATAAATAAAATGGATATAAATATTATTAATAATTAATAAAATCATAAAAAGTTAAAAAGGTCAAAGTCTATGTTAAGACCTTGTGGGTTAAGAGTTTTTAAATTGAATGTCCATTCCATTTCTTTACTACCTAAAATCTTTTTTATATCTCCTCCTCTCCAAGGAATATTGCAAGTATCTATACCTATACATTTTAAAAGTTTGGGATTTTTATCATGTATTAAAAAGTGTTTGGATATTGAATGGTTTTCATAGCCTTTTTGGATATTACGGCAGTGTTCTGCCAATCTGATTTTTAATTCTCTAGTGGTCATGCCCACGTATTGAAGTCCACATGGGCATTCTAATAAATAAATTAAATTTTTAGTAGTACAATGGATAAAATCTTTTATAGGGTATATTTTTTGAGTAATGGATGATTTAAAAGAGGTAGTTTTAGATTTAATACTGTCGTCCGTATGTCTACATACTATACATTTATTGCGTTTAAAAAAAACTTTTGGTTTATTAAGAAAAGATGGGGAGCAAAAAGAAGAGGTAGTTTGGTTCTGTCGGGAGTAATTCTTTGTAAGGATGGATTTGAAGCTGGGTGCCCCTCTAAATATAACATGTGGTTTTTCGGGGATAATGCCAGCTAAGATCTCATCCTGTTGTAATATATGCCAATGTTTTTTAATAATCTTCTTCATAAAATTATTTTTGTTATTGAAGTCGAAGATAATTGGCAATGATGGAGCCTTCTTAGAGGTTTTATTCTCTCGATATTCCAAGAGATCAAATCTATCTTTTTCCCTGACATTATTGATGGTTTGATTTAAGTTATTAGCGGGGTAATTTTTCTGTGAAAATTTACATAGTAGCATGATTGATCTTCAAAGTCTTTGGTAAGGGAACAATTCCTTCGTAAACGAAGGAACT